TTTCACAGACAAATGCAGTGGCAAAACAAAGACACTTGAATTCAGTAATGTTATTTCTTTATAAACAGCACATAATTTCATATATTCCCTTAGCCTTGTTTCAGACTTCTTTGATCTATGTGGCAATACACAGCAAAAAATCCTGTTTGGAAAATTTTAACCTCTGCACGTGGTAAGGGAAAAGAATAGGAGCGTAGACTATTGGACTAAAGCCGAGACCCTCTCCTAACCAAACATGAGGGCTAAAATCTATTTCCACTCTTAAAGTACAGGCAGACTTAAAAGTGCATTTTCAGAAGGCTTTGAGTTATTGCTGAAATCCCTGGGCAGTTTGCAAAGGACCTGTTGTCCTGCAGAAAGACACAGCTCTTGTTTGTCCCAGTGCTAACTGGGACAATTTCATGTCCCAGTCCTACAAATTTGTCCTACAAATTCATGAAATTTCATGATCTGAGGTAATAAACTGGTTTCCAGTCTGCTTTTTTTTATAATAGCCTGTCAGTTCTCAAAAGGATTCTGACTTGTCTGTTCTTTGTAATTTTCCATTCTGGAAACTAATGTATCAAGCGTGATTGCCCAAATAACGGCATTTCTTCTTGTGTGCCAATAAGCAAGGATGAGGATGAGGATGAGGATGAGGATGAGGATGAGGATGAGGATTAGCACAGACGGAGCAAAAGACTGCACAGGCAGATCAAACTCAGCAAAAAGCAAAGCTTTTAGATTACGTTTCTGGTTTCATGTGTATATGGTGTATAAGATTACTGGAAAGCACCGCATTTCATTGCACTTGCATCTTCCGGCTCCTGGCACGCATATTCCCAGTTGCTCTTTCTTTACTGAGCGATCTCCTGCTCTGGAGAAGGTCTTATCCCAGCGGTTCTCAGCTAGGTCGTTAATGTCGATCCCCTTGTGGTGGGAAGCGCCTTGATGGGTGTTCCAGGTAGCTCAGCATGTCTTTTGTGGTCAAGTGGTTTTTTTCAGTGCACAGCTCTTCAGAGTTTTCCAGGCTTAGTTCAAAACTAAGAGAGGCTGGAGAACAAGCCGCTGCTTTACAGATAAAAGTCTGGGATTAATCCCGGTCCCTAAAAAGGTGACCAACCCTGTCTGTCTCTGCGCTAGAGGGCAAAGCTACTATTTTGTGTGGTCTTTGATGTTCTTAAATTCCTCAAAGCTTTTGGGAAAGTCGGGCTAAGTCTTTAAGTTTTCATTTAAGGGCATTTGTTAGGACGTGATTTAAAATCTGCCATTGCCAGTTGTCTAAGTATCTCTTAAGCTTGTGGGTGTCATTGTGGTTTGTGTGGGGTTTTTTGGTTGGTTGGTTTTGTTTTTAAGAGGACAGATTACTTTATGGCTGTATTTCTTGAAGTCAGCGAGGACTCAGACAAGCTCATTTGTATGCTGAAAATGTTACTGTTCTTAGTCGTTTACCCTAAGAATCGTGAGCAGTGGTTTCACTGCGAGGCAGCAGTGTCCTGTCTGCATGCAGATCAACTTGTGAACTATTACAATTTTCAGCCTAGTGTACTATGGAAAAGAGTGTATGTTTTGCAGGGGGAAATACCCTGCAAAACTGTCAGTGATGATACAGATTCTCTCCTGGACGTTCTTCCAACAGTTCAGCCCCTTCTGCAGGTTTGAAAATGGAGCACATCATAAAAACGTATTGAAGGAAGATGTGGCTCAGGGATTTCTGAAACTGCTCTTGTCTTTGAAAGGTACAGCGGCTTCCCCTTTCTCCCTTTCACAGAACTTAATTGTTGTGAAAAAAACACGTTTGATGCCAACATACATACAATTTTTGCTCTCTCTTACCCTTCCTTCACTCCCCTGTTTCTGCAGCTGATATTACTGGAACAATGTGCTTTCACTTACTTTTACTGTTGCGTTTTGTACTCAAGAACCACCAGAATACGCACAAAAATTCAGTGTGATGAATCCGAGTGTTCAAACCTCTTTGGCTGTCAGCGTCAGGACAAAAGGATGCAGAAGTGTAGAATTGCGTGGCTCTGTGCGTTGAATTTAACTGTAGTTTACAGTGTGATGAGGCCTACTCAGAATAGCAGAAACATAAAGTAGACCTTACAGCTTCTCTCTTCTCTGACTAGTGTTTTTTGTTGTGATGTTTCTTGATCTCAAGATTCTAACAAAATCCTTTAGAAGCGTGTTTGCGGGAGAGCGTGAGACAGGCTGGAGTTTAAAACCTGTATTCGGCTTATGACAGGTACTCTCCGTCTGGCATCTGGAGTAGTTGATTTGCTTCAGTACTATCTCCCAGAATCTTTTGATCAGCTTCCTGAGGACTGTGGTCTCTTTGATGGACAAAAACCTACGGCCCTGGAGTCCCGCAGTGTTAGTGACCCAGCAGTGCTGCTGAGGGGCCACAACAGGAAAGCACTGCCTATTCAATTTGGAGCACGTCAGGTTTGCTTTTCTTAGGTATGTGGCTTTTTGCAGATTCTTCCACGTCAGTTGCTAAGTAAGTAATTATTTCATATGGACTGCCCACAACCTTTTTTTTTTTAAGCCCCTATATCTCACTGATATATTACGCTTTTTAAACTTAGAAGCCTTTATTGTGGGGGTTTCTTCTTCATGAACATCTGGATCGTTCTGCTCTTTTTTGCATCAAATGTCTCCGTCCTATTTCTTTCTAACTCCAAATTTTCTTACACCGGATCTATGACTGTCTCCTCATACCATGCATTTGTCAGTCTTCTAGTGCAGCTTTGCGATCTTTTTTGGCAGAGACTGCGGGAACGTCTGCGTTACATGTTGCCTGGTTTTGAGAAAGCTCTTGCATTATCGTGATACATTTATACGCTCTGTGCAGCTCTTCTACCTTTTTTTTGCTTCCTAATATGTTCTTTTTATTAATGTATTTTATGATAGGTGGTGTTAGTGGCAAATGAAACGGCAAAGGAGAAGACACCCGAGGAGCTGGAGCTCAGCTTAGCACCCGTACTGACAGTTTGTGAAGCAAAGGGCTTAGAATTTGATGATGCCCTCCTCCTTTACAACTTTTTCACTGACTCGGAGGTATTTAATTCTCAAGTATTTTCTGCGGTTTTTTTTTTTACTTGATGCCTTGATTTTACAAGTGATCTAACTGGCTTTCCAGCTGGGGAAGGGTTCACGCTGTCCTCTGAGGACAGGTGGTTTCACCACAGTAGAAAACAGGGCTCATGATAGGTTTAGGAAATGAGCCCATCTTCCCTTCGTGCTGGGAAGCCCCTTCCTTAAGACTGGCTGTTGCCATTTTGGGGAGAGCCTTGGGGTTCACCCAAAAGCGTGCGCGCACACACGCCTGCACGCACACCAGCCGAGGCTACTCCGCTGGCTTACGGCACGTCCCTCCCTCCCGCCTGCTCCCTGGCCAGGTCAGAGCAGTTGGTTTGGCGGAGGGACACCCCACCACCCCCGCGTAGCCTTTACCTTGTCCTGGGGTGCCGGGGCCCGAACGAGTGCCTTGTATCACCGCTCTGCTCACTGCGCGGTCGCACCGAGGGCG